AAACCATAAACCTCCGCGTGGCCCGACACATCAGCGTCTCGGTAGGCCATGTGTTGTGCGTGACCTGCGGTCTGCTACAACGTCTCCTCATGTGTTTCAGTCTCTGGGAACGCCGGGTTGGTTCCCTTTACCTCGCACATTCTATCGATGTCGTTAAGCGATCATCGATAGAGGGTCTGCTAGTTTCTCTTGAAACTCTTGTTTTCGAAAAATCAAGAGTTTCAAGTCCTCTTACCAATATGTTGTTCCTGGTCCTGGTCCTGAAGGGTCCTGGTCCTGGTGGGTCCTGGTCGTGGCGGGTCCTGGCCCTGGTTGGTCCTGGCCCTGGTTGGTCCTGGTCCCGGTGGATCCTGGTCCCGGTGGTTCCTGGTCCTCTGCATCCATGCCGTGGGGGGGGGGGAGCAGCCGCAAATTGTCCTAGTCTCCTAGTCAAGGTTCCAGTTAGCGGGTGCCAACTGGGACCTTGGTCTGGGGTACCTGGTTCTGCGGTTGCGAGGCCTCTCGTCCGGATCGTAGTCCATGAGGAATCGTAGCTGCTCGTTCGGGTGGTCCTGAGCTTTCTCGAAGGTCTTCTCCGTTTTTTTCCTCATGTACTCGTGGATGGTATCCCAATGCAGGTCTCTACGCAAGGTTGAGTTCCTTACGTAGGAAGGTGCATTGGTGGCGATCCGGAGTAGCTTCATCTCTAGAGCAGCAAGTCGCTTGCGGTAGCTGGGGGCAGCGTACCCCCAGACCGCGGAGGCGTAAGCGAGCTGAGGTCTGGCGATGGCCTTGATCAGCCGTAGCTTGGTCGCTAGCGGCATCTGGCTGTGTCTACCCAGTAATGGATAGAGTTGAGCCATGGCTGCTCTGGTTTTTGCGATGACAGCTTCTATGTGCGCTTTCCAGGTGAGGGACTTGTCAAAAACGATCCCCAGATATTTGACATTGTCGCTCCACTGGATATCTTCATCGAAGATGGATGCTTCGAGAGGTCTTGCAATCCTTCTTCGTTGAATGAAGATTGCCTGCGTCTTCTGGACGTTGATGCGGATTTTCCATTTCACGCACCAGTCCTGAATTTGGTCCAGTTCACCCTGTAGTCTCCTACGGATGATCTCGGGTCGTCTATGCTTGGCGGCTATAGCAGTGTCGTCTGCATATAGGGCCAGCATTGTGTCAGCTGTCTTCGGCACATCGTAAGTATAGATGTTGTAGAGCAGGGGGGCTAAGGCTGACCCCTGGGGCACGCCTGCTTCCAGCTGACGTCTTGTTGAATGGCATGTACCAATCTTCACCGTGAACCATCTTTGTGTTAGATAGCTCTGGATTAGTTGGCACATGTTCGCATCGATTCCGGCGGCTTCCATTTTGGCGATGAGTCCATCGTGCCAAACTCGGTCGAAGGCTCGTTCCACGTCCAGCAGGATGAGACCGGTTGCCTCCTGGAGATTGAAGCCGCTGGTGATGTTTTCTGTCAGTCGTAGCGCTTGGAGTTCCGTGTTGTGCGAGGATCTGAAGCCGAATTGCTCTGGGGGGAGAAGTTGCAGTTCTTCTGCCTGCTTCTCTAGTCGAACGGCGATAGCCTTTTCGACTACTTTGCCCATCGAGGAAACCAGGCTGATGGGCCGGTAGTTCTGGGGCAACTTCCGGTCCTTGCCTGGCTTGGTGAGCATTATAACCTGGGCTTCCCGCCACCGCCGCGGGAAGTGGTTAAGTCTCAGGGTGGCATTGGCGATGTTGGTGAGCGCAGCAATGCCTTTGGTGGGAAGGTTCTTCAGCATCCTGTTGTTGATGCCGTCCCTTCCCGGCGCCTTTCTGACCTTCAACCTGCGGATGATCAGACGGATTTCCTCTGGACTGGAGGGGTGATCCGTCTCCTGGCCAGGTGGTCGACTCCTCATGTTTTCAGCTGCGACTTCCACGGCCTCCTCGTGGTTGTCGTCCTCGTCTTCATGGTAATTGAGTCTGCATTCGGATTCTAGCGAATCGGCGAATGCTTCGGCTTTTTCTTCACTGGAGTAGGCCAAGCCGCGTTGGCCGTGAAGAGTGGGGATCGTGGTGCGCTGACGACGAAATTTTCGCTGCATAGACCAGGCCGTACCATCCTGGGTCTCTAGTTCTGCACAGGCTGCATTCCATCTGTTGTTTTGGAGTCCCGCGAGTGCGTTCTTCAGAGCTAACGATCCTCTGTTTCGCGCAACTCTCGACTCCTCTGTCAACAGCTGGAGACGTTCTCGCTTGAGTCTTCTGATTTCCCTGATCAGGTGCCTAATATGGTGCGGTGCTGGACCATTTAGGTGTCTAGGAACTGCCGTAGTCTCGGAGCGGGTGCTGTCCTCGTGCGCTCGCAGGACAGCATTCTCCAGCTCCTCTACTGCGTTGTCCAGTTCCTCCGCTGATCGGATGGTTGGAATTTGAGTGATGTTCCTTTGGACGTTGGATTTGTACAGGTTCCAGTTCGTCCGTTTGGTGCTCAAGCTATCTCGAGTTATAGACCCTGTGCCAAGTGTTAGTAGAATCGGATTGTGGTCCGACGATCCTTCCACCAGGGTCTCTATCTCGAACTCCTCTCTGATGTTGCGGAGGATGGCTATGTCCAGTACCGCAGGTCGCCCAAGGCCGAATGGAATGTAGGTTGGTTGCTCCGGACCGACGATGACCCCCGCCAGGGCATCGACGTGTTCCTGGAGCTGCCTTGCATTCCTGTCTTCGACGTTGTTGTTCCATGCCGGAGACTTGCAGTTTAGATCTCCGATGACTATGCGTGCTCCTGGGCCTCTCAGGAGATCAGCGATGTCATCTTCGTCTAGGGCCTCCCCTGGTGGCACATATAGGGAGGTGATTCTGTAGGGACGGTGGTTGTGATGGACCTGGACCGTGATTCCGTCCCCATTTATGTCTGCGGCATCGTCGAGGACATGACTCGTCATGGTACGTTTGACGAGTAATGCGACTCCTCCACCTCTGCCCCTTCTGTCGTAGCGGTACGTCTCGTACCGCGGGAACGTCAGACTATGGGCAGCATCCAACTTCGTTTCTTGGATGGCCATCACCTCTGGTTGGTACTGATCTAGTATCTCCTGGATTTCTGGTTTCCGTGCCCTGAATCCGTTGATGTTCCAGGAGATAATGCGTAGAGATTCTACGTTTTGACCTGTAGACATTTCGGGTCTAGTGCTTGTCTTGCATCTTGGCCTCGAGTGCATCCAGGCGGGTTATGATGGCTTGCATCATTGCTAGCAGTCTGTCATCGCCGTGTTGCTTCTGCGCAGTAGTTCCAGTAGCAGTGGCGGCTGCTGGGGCAGAAGTGGACATAGGATTCTTCGCTTTTTGAGCGTAAGAAGTCCTATTTGTGGTGGGGACTGCTTTGGGGGCAGAAGCAGCTTTCTTCGGCGCCTTACTACATCCCTTGTAGTTGGCGGGGTGGCCTTCTCCACAGAGGCAACATTTGGCGTTTCGTTGCCCTGTTGGCGGCGCTGGCAGGCTGCAGCTGGTGCTGTTGTGGTCCTCTCCACACTTAACGCACCGTTCAGCGAGACGACAGTTCCGCTGTGTGTGCCCGTACCGCTGGCAGCGGTAACATTGGCTGGGCTCGGAAGACTTTTTCTTCCTCTCGAAGCTGACCGTGAGCATGGCCAGCCTCTGGATCTCTGCAAGCTTTTCCGGCATCTTCGTCTTGACGAGGAAGAGCGGAAGTGGCTTCTTTGTGGTCCTTGAGGTCATCTGCTGAACCTCGGCGTCTGCGATGCCTTGGCTCACCAGATCTTTGATGTCATTGACTGACATCTCTCTGGGTAGCCCACGAATGACCCTCTGGTCCATCCTGTCCTCCTTCAGTTGATAGGTGAAGAAGGGCCGCTTGATGGATTCCAGCAGTGCGACTAGCTGACGGTAGTCCGCTGGTGTATTTGTGAATACCTTCACACTGGTACCCGCCGTCCTCGCTTTGGAGAATTGAATCCCCTTGCTGTTCATCATCCTACTCAAGGATGACCAATCAGCGGTGCCCTCGATATTGATTGGCGGAACTCCTGTTCCTGCCATGGGGGGCACGATGGTCCTGGCTGCTCTAGGACTCTTCTTGGTGGCACCAGCTGGCATCTTTGGCTGCCTTGGTGACTCATCTTCGGAGGAGGAAACTCGCACCCGCTTCCTCCGTCTGGTGGCGACACTGAAATCGGTGTCGTCCGTCCTCTTCTCGGCTTCTTCTTCTATTCCTTCGTTTCGTTGAGTGCTCTCTTCTTGGGCGTCCATCTCGTCCGACGTAGCCTGGTGGTCCTCTTCTTCCTCTTCTCCTGTCTTCTTCGCGGCCTTCTTCTTGGCCCTGCGGAGCTTCCCGCTCAGGTCCTCGATCTCCTGTCTGGCCTGCAAGAAGGCTTCTTGCAGGTTTCGCATCTGCTCTTCCAGCATGGCGAAAGCATCCTTCTTTTCTTTCTGCTGGTTAACCAGCTTCTCAATTTTTGCCATCGTAGATGGCAAACAACCAATCTATCGCAATGAAAATTGCAATAAGATTGCTCAATATGTCCGGGTGGGTCGCAGTCGTGCAAGTATACACTCGCAACGGCTGCTAGCTCGGAACTGTCATGCTATAGATATATATATATATATATATATATATATATATATATATATATCACAGAGGAGTGGCTTTCTATCAGGCATTGTATTGGGCAAGCCTCACCCCATTCAGGTGGTTGGCAATTCTCAATTCGAATTTATGGCTATCATTATTAGTGTATACAATTTGTACGTTGTGTATCTTCAGCTATCGTTATCTTTAATGTGAAATTTGAAAATTTCCAGAAGGCTGCAGACATCTGTCGGAAACTTAACATTTCTTTGATCGCCTTCACTCAGTTGATGGAAACATTTTAAGGCATTACAATATAATGTATTCATGTATTTATCGTGCGTTGATGTTCTTCAATGAAATAACAGCAACTCAATATGTCAGCTATTTATTTAATAAGAATGCATTGTATAATCCTAGGTATAGTAAACTAAATAGATAATGTTCAATCCTCATACACGAGGTTATATTTGAGGATAATTTCCGGAGGGAAATACCTTGCAATCTCACACAGAAATGATCTAAGGTTATAATTAATCATATCACTCCAAAACTGCTCAATAGTACAATCTTCTTGTAGATACTGCGCACACAACTTCTGCCCTTCCTCGTATTGCCGAATTAGTCTCCCGATCCTTTCAACCTCGTTATCATCCCAACAAATATTCATATCGTAGTTTGTTGAATGTTCAGCGTCATGCATCAAATCCGTTAACTGGCACACGAATCTCTTGATAGCTGTACGTAGATCCTTTGAATCAGGCCAACGCAATGATGCATAATGCATCCACATCTTGTCAAACCAAAGGGGGTGTACTGCTTCTGGAAAGATAAATATAATGGTCAAAATCAAGTGGAACATGATATTTGTCAAAACAACTTTACCTGCTGCATTTTCCTAACCCAGTTCCAATCTGAAACTTTATATTATCTATACCCAACATATTTGCCTATACTACCTCATATTTTTTTAAACTAATTACTACTGTCAACAAAGTCAAACTTTATTAAACATTTTGAACGACTACCTGATGGTGTCTTTGGTGAGCTTTGGCCAATATACGCTAAAGAATATTTGTTTAGGGACTCATTTATATCTTTAATCATAATTTCGGGCATGTTTTCCAACACTCTTTTAGGTAGCCAAACCCTAAACTGGAGAGAATCAGAATCAAGAAGGGTTGCTACTAGGCATTGCCCAAACTTTGATTGAATACTTGAAATATTCTTAATAGGATAAGATTTGTTTACAGTTAATGATGATAATGTTCTAGATGGTATATTGTTGTCAGATTCGCAATTTATTTTATTGTTTATTTCATGCACGGTTGAGGTAGTGATAGACATTATTAAAAAAATAAATATAGTGTTGGATAAATAATATAAAGGGATGCTCACCAAATTCTATCTGTTAGGTACTTCAAGAATATTATTTAGTCACTTATCGATGTTAAATGGCTGAATTTGAATGATCAAAGCTGTTGTTGTTTCACCATTTGTATAATAACTAGCAGAGTTACATTACCTGACAGCACCGCTGCATACCCTAAGACATTTGAACAACCCAACCCCCAGATAAATTTCGGGTGGGCCACAAAAAAAAATATATAGTCAACATGTCAATTATTCTGCAAGGAACAGCTGAGAGACTTTACAATCGGCATGGCCATTGTGAGGACAACAATGCCTTAACAACACCTTCCATCGACGACTCCTTTTCTATTATAAACGCGTTTATGATCTGAGGACAGAAGCACGAACATGTTAATAAGGGGACCGAACTGCTGTGTGGTTTTACAATCAGCAGGGTCATTGAGAGGGTAACAATGATGCCTTCCTCGAGCTATTTATACGATACAAATGTGTCGAACAACACGTATTCGTTGTTATGAGAACGGTCATTGAGAGGACTCGGTACTTCACCCCCGCCCCTTACCACACGGCACTACCATTGGTGCCGTCGAGCTATTTACCTGAGCAGAGTTAGATTACGTTACTGCACAGGTGCATACAAGAGTTAAGGTAGTCTACAAAAAATATCACACCACACACGGTGATTGAGAGGGCAACAATGGATTACATCGCCCGTCGACTCCACATTTCTATTAAACGAGACGTTTTTGATGGTATGAAGATGGTCATTGAGAGTAGTCGGAATTTAAACACCCCCCGCCCCTTACCCCACCGCACACGATGGTCATATCATCGGATTAAGGTGTAGGGATGACGAGATTGAAGTGGGAAAAGAGCGCTGCTGCTCGTTCGCCCGGTCGATGAGTTATAGTAGTGGAGGGAGGGAGGTGGGGAGGGGGGACACTCCGTCGACTCATTTCTATTAAACAACACGTTTTCGATGCTATGAGGATGGTATATGGTATATATTCTATTGAAAGTAAGTAATGAGCTAAATAGCATATACTGAGAAAATCTCTAAAGGGGTGGTAGACAAAAAAAAATATAAATAAAACTTCATTTTCACCCCCAAGAAAATGATTCCCCAAATTTATTTGTATTTCAAAAAAATACTCTATTGTAGAGACAACTTATGGGCTAGGTGGGCATTGTGTGAGGAAGCTTCTGAAAGGGTAGCAGACAAAAAATATATTTATAAATTCATTATCACCCCCAAGGAAATGATTCCCCAAAATCAGTTGTAGCTCAAGAAAATACTCTGTCATAGAGACAATTCATAATCTAGGTGGCGAGGTGTGAGAAAGCTTCTGAAGGGGTGGCAGATAAGAAAATATAGTTAAACATTCATTTTCACTCCCAAGGAAATGATTCCCCAAAATGAGTTGTACATCAAAAAGATACTCTGTTATACAGACAATTTATAGGCTAGGTGGCATGGTGTGAGAAAGCTTCTGAAGGGGTGGCAGCAAAAAAAATATATTTATAAATTCATTTTCACCCCCAAGGAAATGATTCCCCAAAATCAGTTGTACCTCAAAAAAATACTCTATTATAGAGACAATTTATAGGCTAGGTGGCATGGTGTGAGAAAGCTCCTGAAGGGGTGGCAGATAAAAAATATATAATTAACAATTAATTGTCACCGCCAAGGAGACGATTCCCCAAAATGAGTTGTACCTCAAAAAATACTTTTAGTCTAGCTAGGGCCGTGACATATGAAGCCAATACAATGTTAACCGTTGAAGAAACATCATAAGCCTCTTCTCTAAATCCCCAGGTTACGAGAAGAGTTTCTTCGTTTACCGGGAGAACTGTATTTACATGAATAGAAGGATTAGTCAGCATATGAAAGAATTCACCACAGTCTCTGACTATTGAGGTTTTGTTTTGGTTTTCTTTTTTACCCCAAAAGAGAATTCAGCATAAGTTTAGCTAACGATTTCAAAGCGGGGTTCTCTGTAATTTTTGAAAATTCCAGTTTTATGTTCTCTCTATCCAAAAATGCATCAATATAACGGTTTTTTTCTTCATCCGTTAAGCAATGTTTAGGCCATCCTGAAGCTTGTTGTTTTATTTGTAGAAGCTTGTTCGTCATTCCGCTAAATAACACCTCTTGGTCTTTACTGAGCTGAATTGTGTCGTATGCCCATATTTCGTACGTCTCTATAATCTGGTAACCTTTTTCAATAGCTTTGAGCACCTCTTCTATCACCCAAGTTCCTGTTATGCTTCTTTCTTGAATAGAATGCTGACAGTCCTCTCGAACGAAATCTTCACCACATTTTTGGCAGTTAATAAACATGAATTTGTTGTTCATTTTTGACGGTAAAATGGGGTGATTTAAGTTCTGGTTCGGCAGAATCTGGCATTTAATAAGTCCTGACATCTGCGAGAGAGAGGCTGTAACACATTCTTCACCTACGAAAATTTTTTTGGATGACCCACAGGAAATTTTCCATATTTACAGATGAAGGGGTAGAGGGAACATATATCGACATATTTTATGCATTCATTTGTTTTGGTCTTGTAGTATTCAACGATATTTTCTGTACGTCCCCCGTAGAGAGCGTCTCTGGGATTAATCGGTAAATTGATTATCAATGGATGTGCTTCTGTGAACGCTCTAATTTCATCGTTTAGCATTCCTCGAAATTGACATCCCCATATCTCAATTACTTCTAGTCCAAGGCTTCGGAGTCTCTCTACTTTGCTAACTGATTGTTCGTATCGACTTTCCAATATATTCAACGAATCATTATGCAGAGAACTGGTTCTGTTGTACTTGAAACATCGTGGGCAACCGTGAAAATAGCATCCTTGGAATTCAAACACTTGATTTGTGTCGCTACAGAAACCGTCTACTTTATGTCCCTTAACAATGTCTTCTATACCCTTAGCGGCATGTTAAATTTTGATTCCTCTTTGATGTTCCTCCCACAACATCCATTGAATGGCGATTTTTGACTGATTTTCACGCCATCTATAGTCACCTTTTGGAATTAACCCGATCGTCTCAGGTTTTAAAAAATTGCGTCTAAAGACTTTGTTACAGCATGTACTTCTTGCATATCATCGCTATGACAACACCTGCGCTGAACGACCTAACCTTATTTGCGACGTATGTGATTACCAACGCACCCGACCCCCGCCGTCCACCAATCAACATATACCATCAACCCCGTTCAAATTTACCGCCGTCTGATCCACCAATCAGAGCACGTGGTGGGCGTGGCCAAAAGTGGAAGTGGTGGGGGGCGTACAAGGTGACCTCATATCTACTGACGTTTTATGGTAATCCAGGCATCGGATGTCATTAACTTCAAATCCATCTGCATAAGAGGTATTCCTAATCTGTGTACTGCTTGGCACTTGCTAACATCATTATCTCATTCTCAACAAGTGGAGGCAGTCATTTCGAAAAAACTGATTCAAATTACATAAAAATGTATAAATCGCACAAAAGATCATTAGCTCGACACACTTTTTCCTGAAATTTTGACCACTAAACAAATTATTTCTATGATGTCTAGCATATCGTTGGAAAGGCAAAGAAACACGGAACTTTTTGGAATAAAACTAAGTATCACCAGAGGTATAGTTTTTTTGTAATCGAATTTTGAATTTAAAGTTGTTTATTCACTCCGCGCTATATTACGACTTTGGAAGGCCATAAGTCATTTTATGGAGAAGATTTGTACAAACCATTGATCTCATCTGATTCAGTATGCTATACAGAATCGACTCGGATTTATCTTGTGTTATTATCTCGACAAACAAAACAGCTATCACGATAGTTCTGCGCCATTGTAGGTAATTCAGCAAAAAAAAAAACGAAAAAATCATATTTCGGAAACCGTAGCCCTTAGAGCATTACGCTTTCCACCAAAAAACATCAAATAGCGTCCCCAATTACCCAATTTTTTTGTCGGTTCATGTAAGGAACACCCTGTATTTGAAGCAAAGCATCAAATAAAAACCATATAACTCAATGGCCATGGCGTTAACGCGTCACGAACAGCTAGTACAAGTGAACATGAAGTGAATGACAGCTCGTACCAAGTTGACATCCTACATATTGCCTAGAAAAACCTACATGAAAAAATACATAAAGGGTGTCTCAACAACAGCGCCGGATTTGAATTTGTACAAATGGTATGGTGTTTACTTGATGACAGCTGTCATGTCCAGACCACGCGATTACCCAGCCAGCAAGGACACGTATATTTCACGTGAAAAGAACGTACCTCTTTACGTAGTATTCACGGCCCTATTCGACGTGGAAAGTCCGTTGAATTTGTGGGGGAAATGTCAGATAGAATCGACGTCATTTTCTGACAGCGATTCTACGTGATTTATACACGTGGTTTCCACGCCCTTTTTCGACGTGGAAAGGCAGTTAATTTGTGGGCGACGTGTCAGATAGAATCGACGTTACTTTCTGACGACGATTTCACGTGATTTAGACACGTCGTTTCCATGCCTCTTTTCGACGTGGAAAGTCCGTTAATTTATGGGCGAAGTATGAGATAGAATCGACGTCACTGTCTGATGACGATTTCACGTGATGATTAACTGGATGAAGGTGGTAAATAATATTCGGATCAAAAATGAGTTCAATATATATGGCGAAGCCTAGAAGTAGTACTCTGTCCGGAAAACAGGTTGGTCCTACTGTGGACAATAACTGTTATTGTTAAGCACCAGTTTTCCAGACAGAATTTAACTTATAGCCTTGACCAAATATACTGAACTCATTTTAACGCAAATGTTACTTACCACCTTCATTCACTCAACCCTTCAAATGTGATTGTACTAAAGAAGGCCACTGAGGTGGAAGAAATGTTTACAATATACAGTATTTAAATTGTGGTTCGAATTGTAAGGCCGGACAAAATGAAGGATTAATACTATAGTAATTTTATTTGAAATAACTACTTGAATAATCATAACTTCTTAAAACATGAGTATTCTAATTTTTTGTCCAAAGTTATAAGCATTTTAGTTCTAAATATGTCTTGTTAAAACATGTCACCGATTGCTTCAAATACAAACCATTATATCTGGTCATACAATTTATGTGTAAATGAATACTGATAAAATTATATATTAACTTATATACATATATAAATAAGAAAATAGATACAACTTTTGCAGATATGTTTTAATACATTTCATTGCATATTAGCTTTCTACTTAAATATGATCTTAGTGAATGAAACAATCGTTTTGTGAGCATCAGATTAAGCATTGATGTATTCTTGGGTCCTTAGAGCCGCACAGTTGTGAAGAATCTACCTCGCATATAGGTGATGCATAGATCTTGTTCAATATAACCACTATTGTAAAAATCTTGCTCTAAATGTCTGACATTTATCAAAATGGCATCTCCTTCACACATCTTGTTTGGTAGCTTTGGTGCCAGAAAGAACAGCCCCTTGGAATAAAATTTGAATATATAGATGTGATATAATCAACTGTATACAAAATAAGATTACAATCCAACCATAACTTAAAATCAATATAATTTGACTGGGGAATAATAAATTATGACAGCTAAAATTCAGAATAAATTGTCTGATTTTTTATAAGTAAATATTTTTTTACTTGTTTACCTATATATAAAGCTGTCACATGAAAAGCGATTTTTGAATATAGTTGTACATCAAGTCTTGTATGTTACATCAGATACAAAAAACAAAATTTGTAATAATAGGTCTGAAACTGTTTGGGAACCTATAAAGATCTGTTAGTACTTACTTATTACAACCTTGTTGAGAAATGAAGCTTTGAATGCCTTCTTCTCTTGTCTAGTTCCAAAATAATTGTACCTAACTGCCAAATTATTTGATATTAGGCGCCTCAAAATTATATTTGTTCTATTGGTAATATCACGTCCCCCTTCGAAAAGATCTGAAAAATAAAATAAGATTCTCCTAATTTGGTCATGTAACCCACTAAAGTCCTAATGACATGTATCAAATTCCATGGCTACTGCTATTTAGTATAAAAATGCTATACAGTTTTACTTTCGCTGAACAGACTCATTGTTCTACAAACATAAAGTCCCACTTTGTAATAAAAAAGTCTTGCGGGTAATGAATGTTTGCAGTTTAATTAGCAGCTGCATTATTTAAAAAAAATTAAAAGTGAATTGATGCTGTTCCTTGATGACTGTCATAGAGAGACTTGAAGTAATTAAATACATTCCAGGGCCGTATTGTCAGCCATTCTTACAATTGAAGGCTGCGGTTGAGAAGTTATGTTTTCTTCTTGAATCGTAGGAAGTTTCAGGCTGATAAAATAGATATAAATCAAAAGTATGAACATTTTGGTGCGAATAGATATTTGTAACATAACCTCAAAATCGAGCGGTAAAACGGAACAGTAGAAAACTGTGAAAATCAAGGAGGCCATAGAGGAGTCCTACAATAATTATTGGGACGACTGACGATAACGATACGGACCTTAATTATAGGTAAAGTTTGAAGAATATACCTACCGTCCTCAAAAAACACTCTTCCGATATCGTACTGCTTATACGGTACTTGTTCCTTGTTCGTACTTGCTGTTTATATGGTGGGTGGTGGCCACCACACTCGTTTCTTTCTCGGCGTCAGCCACTTTTCATGCACTATGGCAATATCGCCCCCAGCACCACCAACAATTTCATCTGAAAATTCTATGCCTATGGCTCATACAAAGGCTACTGTCACGACGCTGTTCTTCATTAAACGATGAGCAGGAACACAGTATGGCTTATGTAAACACACTTAAACTTTAGAATTTACAGGAAGATAAAGTTACGTGCACATTTCGCAAAATGCAAAATTGATGCAGGATGGAGAACGCGACGTAAGAAACAACATGACGTTCCTGATTCCTGATGGGGAATGGCTTTGATTGGATCGAATGTCTGTTCAAAAACATGGTCGCCTAATGCTGCTTGTTCAATGTCCCAAATGTTATCGAGTTGGAGAAGCTGAATATACTTTATATAAAAATTCCACTGGTAATGTACTAGACTCAATCAGGAAACAACTGTTTATGAACTCTAGGAAATTGTTAATAGTATAGGTATGAAAACAGGATAGATCAAAGGAAGACGGAATGACACTCAAAAATCAGCTTCAGCCAAAAGCATTATATAGACGCAAAAAAATGCATCATTACAAAAGTAATTATCAAGAAAACAATCTGTAGCTTTCCAAATCTGAAATATCAGTATGTAAAAATCTTGGGAGCTAATACCGGTGATTGTGGTGATGAAAATTCTGCAATCTGGTAATGCAGCTATGACACTCTTTATATTCAAAATTTGGTCATGAAATGGGGAAACATCGATATTATAATTAATTCTCAATCACACTTTCATATTTTATTATTTCAATAAGGTGGTCGATGATTTTCAGTTAATAATGACTAATACATATGTTTACACCGCATTATTATTTATAACAAAGCTCGCAAAGCATTTTAGGTTCGATATTCGCTTTTATATTTTTGGGACAGGCTGTATCTACAAATAAATTACATCACCCAAACACTTATCATCATCATTCGGACATTCTCTATTTGGAAGATTACAATTTAAATTTATGATAAAATGCCACGTCGCATCCACGTCTTTTCCACGTGTATAAATAACCAACACAGGTACAGATGTATTTGCGGTCAGTGTTTCACGTGGATAAAACGTCCCTCGTCGACCAGTGACGTGCTACACCGAATTTCTACGTTTTATCTATTATATTATAAGAATATAGGAGAAAATTATAACAAACTAGTACGTTTACCTTAATTAATCGGTTAAGTGACGGCAACATAACCGGATTTTATTCGCGGCAGTAGAAATTCGTATAGAGGTGTACATACGTCGTAATATTCACGTTTCATCCACGTGGTGTGGTTATATCGGACAAATTTAAGCGAAATTTGATCCATAACTGACGTCGAATAAACCTGGAATTTTCCCTAAATTTCAACTTCGACCAAAATCACCAAATATCTACGTCAATTCCACGATACCGTGCTGTCTGGTAGACGTCATTAAGAAGTATTCAAACGAGCAACGTTTAATTATTGTGAAAAAATGGAGAAAATTACGCGAAAACAGTTCGCAAATTACGTGCAATTTTCGGTCGCAATAATGCGCCAAGTGAGTTGATAGATAATTTGAGACAAACTTCACGTTGCTGAATGATAAGACCACTGTTCGTCGCTGTCCTGGTCGGTCCCTCGAACATATTAGTCTTAGTGCAGGAAAGTGTGGCCGAGACCCACTCTGCAAAGAATTTGGCTTTGCTTTTGCTTGCATGCGTACAAGGTTCAACTGACGCAAGAACTCAAGCCAACGGACCATGCGCAGCGCCGTGAATTCGTTGATTGTGCGCTGGAGCACCACCAAATTGATGCGGATATCTCGAAGAAAATCATTTTCTCTGATGAGGTACATTTTAAACTCAACGGGTACGTCAATAAGCTGAACTGCCGAATTTGGGGTTCTGAAATCCTCGTGTAATAATCGAACAACCAATGCATCCGCCGCGAGTTACCGTTTGGTGCGCATTGTGTAGTGGCGGAGTGATTGGACCGTATTTCTTTGAAAATGCAGCTGGAACTGCGGTAACTGTTAATGGTGTTCGGTATCGCGAAGTGTTAACCGAGTTTTTGTGACTCCAGTTGGATCGAATTGATGTGAAAAATATGTTCTTCCAACAAGACGGTATGACCTGCCACACAGCACGCGAAACAATGGTGTTACTGCGGACCAAGTTTCCACCTCTCGATTTGGCGATCAAATTTGGCTACCAAGATCGTACGATCTAACGTCAATGGACTTCTTCCTCTGGGGCTATGTGAAGGAAAAAGTGTATGGGAACAAGCCACAAACAGTTGAACGCTTTAAAGAAAAGATACGGCGGGCGCGTTATCGACGAAGTAGAGCCATAGTTGTGCGAAAACGTTATCCAGAATTTGAAGAAAAGACTGACCCTGTGCCAGAAGTTTCATGGTGGCCATTTACCGGATGTCCTATTTCATGTTTAATCGCAACTATTCCTCTTCATGTTGAAATATAAATACTCACTCGCTTATGGCGCTCTCATTGGGACACCCTTTATAATGTTACTGTTTAAGTTACGTAATTCGGTTGCCGGCTTCTGCGATCTTCACCGCTTTGTTTATTTATAGCATAGATAATAGTAAGGAGATGACAACCAAAATGAATGCAGAACGTCTTCTTTCTAGTTTTTAGGATTCTGTACGTATCAACATTATCGTATATAGTGAACTGAATGTGAACCGCGGTGGCTGTTAGTTGGCGCGCATGTTGGTTACTTCGTTTTTTTGAAATATGGCACGTGATGGACTATCTTCAGATTGAATACGTTAATCGATGCTATTAGATTATAAAGAGTTCAAGTTGGTTCATTGAGAGGAGGAAATTCTAGAAAAGAACCCTATTTCAGGTCGGCCACTCACAAGCAGAAGAGGAAATGGTGGCTAGAGAAATAGCTGAAAAACTGGGACATACGTCTGGAATATCCTATAGTGATATTGCTGCCACAGCTTCAGAATTCGGTAGAAAAAAATTAGCCATCAAGGTAGGCATAGGTTTATGGATAACAATCTTATAAAAACCTAACCTCATTATAATCAGTGAAATATAATTTGAACAGTATTAGTAGTAAGCGTAGAGCATGATCCATTGAATTAGTTTAAATCTTTAGAAAAATTGTATGTAAGCATTTCTTGTACGTAGAACTACAGCGATCGATTACTCGAAAAGTTGTTAAAGGTATGTGGTTGAACTCATGGGAGCAATACGGCTATATTATCTTTAAAATGGTGGCACTTTATATCCCTTTCGAATTAGCATTGAAAATAAGGTTGATTTTATGTGATCTCAAATTATTAATTTCCGAGATATATGGAAATATTGATTTTTTTCATAGCTAACTTTAGTTGGCTATGGCAGAGACCGGGCGAACTACTAATACGAAAACTAATACGACGCTGACGCCTGGTCATAGCCATCTGAGGTTAACGGATCGTATTAGGTCATGAGCATCCAGCGACGATGAAAAAACATAACCTTGAAAGTCCATTCATGAAACGTCCTCTGATAATTGCAAGATAAATGACCATAATCAAATCCAAGGAATAACCATAAATTCTGTAATGTGCCGCGGTTTTAATATGCCTCAAGATGACACACTGGCACATAACACCTACTTTATAAGGGAATCTATAATGCTAAGGTTTATCACTAAGTTTGTAGCGCCATCTCAGGGACATTCTCCGAATTTTTTATAGAACCTTTACGAACTGTTATAGAACCCTTCAAAAATATTGAATATCTAGCGCCATCTTTGGACTTCTCTATTACACTGTGGCGCTAAATTTGAATTTTATATTCAAATTACATATAAGGTATTTTAGGTAAAATAATGCTCGACCTGATTATATTTTTAAACTGGGTATTTTTTTAATACAATACATAAAAATAACAGTTATGCAAGTTGTTAGGAATCTAAAAGTAGTCGGTATTACCGATGTACTATCGCGTGCATAAGAAACTTTAACAGCATCTATTCTTATCAAACATGCATTGCCATGGATATATCAGTGTGACAGTGCCTTGTTATCTCTTTATAATATAAGGTCATCGATAGTTCAGGAGATATGCGATGTCCATGTGTTTTCTGCACGTGGTAGTATCTATGTAAAGTATAAAATAACAATCTTCTTGAGAACAAATGTGTAATTAATTTATAAAAGTAAAAATAGGAAAATTTTTAACTAGGTATTAAGTTACTAAAAATCAAATTGAAACATTCTTAATAAATTAAAAAATAAATTTCAAAAAAGGAATATACTGAAAGTAAACTAAATAAAAAATAAAAATAGATACCTTTAGCAGTTGCTGAATTTCTAGAAGGAGTAGTTAAGTTGATGTCTTCAGATAATTCTGCTTCTGGGCTATAGCTTTCAGCCCAGCTTTCACCTATGAATAAAAAAATAAAAATAAAATGAGTTGAAAACCACATACAAATATTTGACTGAATATTATTTTATACATACAAGTTTGAAAATTTATTTGAATGAATTAAATTTAAGTTTTTTTTTTCAAACTAAATACTTGCAAAATATATACTGAAACATACTTACATCTTAAATGTTTTGGGGGAGCTGATTTCAAGTCTTTATATGAGCCTGGTCTTGGATGTTCTGAGGAATGTTCAATATTTACTAAACGTGTTCCTAATACAGAAGTTTTTCTTTTAGGACTTGTGTGAGTATATTCAGAAGTACTTTGGATGTTACACTTCTCTGTTGCTGAGCCCTCCTAGTTACCTGAAAGATAATTTTTTTTTTGAAAAAGTGTGTCAACTAATAGTTGAAGTAATTATCTACCAAAACAAAGAAATTAATGATGATGGATCCCTCGAGCACTAAGAACTCCGGACGTAAACTCACTCCACTCTCGGAATGTCCGGGTGGAGGGTGGGCTCGAGGGAACAACATCGAAGATAAAATTTGTTTTTCGAACATCTGCGGGATCAACAGCAACATTGATGCTGTTCATCACTACCTGCAATCCAATCGTCCCGCCGTGCTTTTCTTGGCGGAGACAAAAATCTCAGAGACTGCACCGATTAACCATCTCAACTTCCCAAACTACGAGGTGCACTCCAATCTGTGAAAGAACGGGGGAGTTGTGGCTTTTGTCCGCAGCAGTCTTTCCTGCTCCAGGGATCTTTCTTTGGAATCAGACCGGAAGGACATTCTGTGGCTTCGCCTCAACTCCAAAACATCACCCAAATTTATTTGCTGCCTTTATCGCTCTCCCTCGAACCATAACTGGGATGACCTACTCGAATACCTCGCCGTCCAGGTCGATTTCCTGAACATCAATCACCCCGCTTCAGAGGTAGTTCTTCTCGGTGATTTCAATGCCCATAATGAGCTTTGGTTGGGCTCAAATAAGACCGATGCAGCAGGTCGTGCAGTCGAAGCGTTCGCTCTTACTCAAGGGCTGACCCAGCTGGTGACGAGCCCTACTTTTTTCCCCTGCGTCTCGTCACACGCCAGTAGCCTGCTGGATCTCTTTCTGACCACGCATCCTGCCCCTTGCAGCACTGCTGTCCTGTCCCCCCTGGGTAACTCAGATCACGGTGTTGTGGAGGTTAGGTTTCGGTCAGAAGCCGCTGTGGCAGCAGAAACTCGCACAGGCCGCAAAACTTGGCATTACGGACATGCCGACTGGGAGGGGCTCAGAGACTTCTTCTCTAGCTTTCCTTGGAGAGATGTCTGTTTCACTGACGCGGATGCGTCGACTGTCTGTTCTTCAATAACCGAAATTATCCACGTCGGAATGGAGGAATACATCCCTCACACAGTGAAAGTTCCTAAACCAGGGTCCAACGGCTGGTTCAACAAATCGTGTGACACTGCTCGCCAGCAGAAGATCAAAGCCCACAGAACCTACTTACAAAACCCCACTGTAGAGAACAGACAATCCGACGTCGAGTCCAGAAACAAATATAACGAAGCGGTACGCAATGCCAAAAACCAGCATGATATAAAAGTTAGGCACAGGGTAATGTCGCAGCGCAATGGCAGTCGGTCTTTCTGGACGCTGGCCAAGCATATTGAAAAGAACTTCTCACACAGTAGCCTTCCACCACTTACGTGTCAGGATGGAACTATTGTATTCGACTCAAAGGCCAAGGCAGAAGTGCTAGACAAGATCTTTGCTGCCAACTCCACCATGGACGTCCCCACCAACGCCCAAGTGCCGTCAATTCAAAGGGTTCCCCACACTATGCGGGAGGTAACATTCAGGCATAAGACCGTAAGACGAGTGCTCTTGTCACTCGACATCAACAAAGCTTCTGGTCCGGACGTGATTCCTGCCATTGTACTGAAGAGATGTGCAGCGGAGCTTGCTCCAGTTCTTTCGCATCTCTTCCAGATATCTTATGAATCCGGCACCTTCCCAGAAAACTGGAAATTTGCTCATGTACAGCCCATCCCAAAAAAAGAATCTAAGACCGACCCTTACAACTACAGGCCTATAGCTCTGCTTTCTGTTATAAGTAAAGTGATGGAGAGGTACATAAATCGCGAGCTTCTACCTCGAACGTCACAGCTTGATTAGCGACAGGCAGTACGGTTTCCGGCACCAACGATCCATAGGGGACCTCCTAGCTTACGTCACGCAACTGTAGAGTACACTCATCCAGTCTCATGGTGAGGCTCATGTCGTTGCTCTTGACATCACGAAAGCGTTCCATCAGCTGTGGCACGCTGCCCTCAGATGGGTGGCTGACTTTATCTTTGGCCGCAAGATATCCGTCGTAATTGACGGATTTTCCTCTTCATCCCACAACGTCAACGCGGATGTTCCCCAGGGATCGGTCTTGGCTCCAACACTGTTTCTCTTACATATCAACGACCTCCTTTCCTGCACGATCAACCCAATCCACAGCTTCGCTGATGACAGCACTCTACATGCAGGAATTCAGAGTGACAAGTCGATCTCTGCCGCTGAGTTGGAAAAAAGAAGACTAGCGACGACTTCTTCTCTGACAAGAGACCTGGAGGCTATCACTGCTTGGGGGCGCAACAATCTTGTACAGTTCAATGCTTCCAAAACACAGTACTGAACTTTGACGAACAAAAAGCGTCCTAGCGCTCATACAGTTTCGATGGACGGTCGAGTTCTACCAAAGAGCCATTCATTTCGGCTGTTCGGAGTCCAGATCACCGAGGACCTGATCTGGCCCGAACACATCTCTTCAATAGCTGCAGCTGCTGGGAAAAAGCTAGGCTATTTGTTTAGGGCTAAGAAGTACTTTTCTCCGCATGACCTTCTCACTCTATACAAGGCCCAGATAAGGCCTAGCCTCGAGTATTGCTCACACATTTGGGGTGCTGCCGCCCCGACTACATTGTCCATGCTCGATGCTGTCCAGAGGAGGGCGGTCCGACTGATCGATGACTCTTTTCTAACAGACAGTCTCTCGGGACTCTTTCGCACCGGCGGGTCGTCGGCGATCTAGCTCTTTTCTATCGCTACACCAACGGGCTTTGCTCCTCAGAGCTCTCTTCCATGCTGCCGCCGCGCGATGTGCCTGCCAGACAGACCCGCCTGACTTCGGCGTCCCATCCTAACCGTGTCAAACTTCGTACATCCAGAACTGGCCGATACGACCGCTCCTTTGTCCCGAGGGTGTCTAGATTGTGGAACAATCTACGGGCCGAAGCTTTTCCCAGTTCTACCAACCTTAGGCAGTTCAAAAATCGTATTAACAAAATTTCTTTGGGATCATCATAGCAGCCGCGGTGTTCCGGCATTTAGGCTTCTGCCTGCGCGGCTGTTTCGATATAAAAAAAAACATACATATTATAGCTCTCACTTTATTATGTACATTTTGAACAAATTTCTAATATTTATAAATCTGTCACTATTTAAAGTAAAATAACTATTTTTAAACTTACCTTCTTCATATATAACGTTTTCTTGGATCAACTTGGTGTCTGTTGAAGAACTCTTCAATAGAATTGTTTTAAGGGTCTCTCTCATTTTTGCAGCCAACGGATTAGCAATTTTCCTACTACCTTCATGAGTTTCGGGACTACTCTGAACATTTTCCGAAACCATACCTAAAAAAGAATTGAATTTCATTATATGTTAATAACGCTAGGTAAGTTTTTCAAAAATTGTGGAAACCGTAAATACTGTGAAAGTTTTTAGGATACCAAAATGTTCGTATCATCTAATCCTGGTTATTCATTGATTGGTTTATATATGTAAACAAAGTTATTACTTACTTGAAGATTGAAGTTCAGAAAACCTCTCTTGGTTCCAGGCACTTTATCACTTTTCGAAAAAGTAAGTTTGTGAATTGAAATTCAGTTAATGAATATCAGAATCACCGACACAGAACTAATAAAAACGCCGGCGCCGTTCACGATTTAACTTATATTCAACGTATATCAACGTCGAAGCATTGGACTGTCAAAAAGAACGGAAAAACCTAGTAGCAGCGCCACTCTGTTGTTACACTCCATACTAAGTAGGATATAAGAATATCTGGTTGCCTACAAAATGCACCTTCAAAGTCACTCATTTAACTTTCCCTTATAAAGTAGGTGTTATGTGCACACGGGTTGATGACGTCAGTTACACGAATCGCTTGAATGCGTTGGTTTTAACCGCGGTTTTGTTGCAAGTTGTTTATTTTAGAAAAGCGCGTATATAATATCTGTTTATTTTTATTATCACTTAATAATCGGTGCTTTTTCGTCTACAACGGTGTATGGAAAGTTTAAATAAGAAATCTTTCATAATATTCATGGGAGAAATGTTTTTTTTTTCAGAAAAACATTTTTAATGATGGAACCATGGCTTTGTAGCTATGATAATTTTCAATCTCTAAAGTTTTCCGCATGCCAAAGAAAACATTCATTGATTTAGCAGAAATGATGAAAAAGCGATGAAAAAAGATATTGGCAAAACCGTATACAGGTGGACATCATCCAGTGAGTTTATATGGCCATATTTTAATATTCTTGTGGTATATGGCTACACAGGGTACTTTGTTAAGTATAGGAACTAGATTTAACGTGACCCCAACAACAGTAATGAGTGTAACTAATAAGGTGCCTCACTTTATGCTAAAACTGAAGTCAGCCTTAATCAAGTTTCCCAAAAATGAAGCTGAAGTAGGTACACTAGCAATATCCAATACCCGGCAAAATTCTAACTTGTCACATTTCAAATAATAACCAGAAATATAAAACTACTCCTGAGTTAGGTAAATATACATCGTGTTTCCCCAGAATGGAATAAAAACGATTATTTCAGCTCTTGCCTAGGCTTGACCCTTAATGATATTACACTCGCGATCTTGCCCCATGACCGTCGCGCTTTTCCCCCAATGTCGGAAGTCAGGACACACTTGGCAACGTTGCGCCGAGCCCTTCGGCACTTTTTCGCTGCTCAAGTGTGTGTTCCTCAGTACCTTCTCCCATTAAGGCGTCAAGACTTAATCGGGTCAAGCCTAGGCAAGAGCTGAAATAATCGTTTTTATTCCATTCTGGGGAAAAACGATGTATATTTCAGATCTGTGCCGTCGGCTTGACCCCTAATGAGAAGTGTTTGTATACCTGACGACGTAAAAAAAGCGTACTGTGAGTAAGAAAGAAAGAGAAAAAAAAATATATATATATACGCATTTTGTGCGTACTGTAAATAAATCTTTTTATTCTGGCACGTATAACAAAACTTAAAAGTGATACTCTGATTCATAACAAGAATATGTAATAGAAAAATATATGTAATTCTATCTGCCTTATCCTTTACAGCATAAGCCTATTCCGCAACTGAGAAGGAACTTTGTATTAAATCAGTCTGTGTTTCTCGTAGTGAAGGTTTTTGAATTTCCTTATAGTAATACTTGTAGAAGTTTTGGCTTCCTTGCCAGTTGTCCTTCTCCAGAATGATGTCCAGTGGGACGTTGTTTTCAAATCTTGCCGATGCCACTGCTGACCTGATGCTGCCTGGTGGAAATGAGATTCCCGCCTCGCTAAATGCTGTTTTAATCCATCCCGCTAACACAGTGCGGGATGCCGGTTTCACTTGACCTCTGGTCGTTATGAATAAGTTGATAAGCCCGTCTTTGACTTTACGGCGAGTAGATGTAACTGCGACCATCTGATGTATCCAGAATACCGGATCATGTTGTATCTTGGAGCACCGTTTCAGGAACCATCCTGATTGGCGATACAGGCTCTTGTCTGTCTTTGAGCCGAATTCTGGCCAGAGAATAACGGTGGCATCATTTAACTCCATGGAGTATTCGTCTACTTTGAGTAGAGTCAGGCCATGGATCCTACGACCAGAAGCTAGTAAGAGGATTACAGACAAGTGACGAGATACTTGAAATATGCTACCTCTAACGACATCATTAGCTTCCTACCATGATAGAAGTTTGTTGACGTCCCACGTCTGTTTCCTGTTAGTGGCGGGAGGCCTTGACAGATCGATCGCTTTAAGCATGTGCCTTACTATGGGATTTCCAGCGAGTCTTTCTGACCTCATAGGGTTGGATTTATATAGCTTTATTGTTGAGGGGGCGAGTTTCTTTTGCCTGTGTAAAAATCCCAGGTATTGTGCTACCTGGTCTGGAGAGGGGTCTTGTGGAATATTGTTTCTAGAACACCATGCTAGCCATTCCCTCCATGGTGCTGAATGTGTTTTCAACGATGACTTTTTCCAGGAGCTAGTAAGCAGTTGGGCGTCTTTTCCTTTCCAATGAGTTAGGCCCCTTGCCCACCCCGTATTTTCCAAGCTTCCAATCTTAGTGAGCGGCTTTGGGAGAGTGGTTGATTCGTCGACAAGTCTATTAGATGATGGTGCAGATTCCGTATATGAAGGGGAGGGGCTAACGCTCGCGCTTTTACATCTGTTCTCCAGAAAACTTTTTCCAATCTCGGCGCTATGACAATGTACGTTCCTGAAGCGTGATTGAGATGTCGCAGCACTCGTGGGATCAAGCATGGAGGAGGAAATATCCATGCTAGTTGGAAGTTCCACTGCCTGCTGAAGGCATTCGTGAAGGTTGCTTGCTGATCTTTGGCATTCCTTGCAGCATAGGCTGGCACAATCCGCGATCGATTTGTCACTTATTCATTATAACCAACCAACCATAAAATATGCACTTCACTAGCGGTCTATGTGACTGTCACAACCGGAATGATGCTTGGCGGCTTTGCGCGGCTTGTATTGCCGACGGCATAGCCGCTCGGCATAAACCCGGCGGCATTGCCGCCGGCACCTTTTGTAGTAGCTTTAAGAATTGCTTGGCCTCTTGCACTTGCCTGGTTATTGTTTCCTGACATTGGTTCGATAATAGAAAATCTTCTAAGTAAACGATGACTCTTATTCCCCTATTTCGCAGTTGGTTGGCCAACCAGTTTGATATTTTTGCGAAAGTAAGGGTTGCCGAAGCCAGTCCGAATGGGAGGCATGTCATCTGATAGACAGTTTCCTTGTGTACTACTGAGCGAAAGCGACGATGATTGGAGTAAATGGGAAGGTGGAAATATGCCTGATGCAGATCTAGTTTTACCATAAAATCCTCTTCTTGCAAGAAATCCGGTACCCTCAGGTGGCTGATTAGGCGGAATTTCGAAATTTGCAGGTACTGGTTCAAACGTTTTAAATTGAGAATCGGTCGGATCTTCCCATCTGGTTTCTGCCGAGGGAACATTTTGGATACGAAACCCGTCGACGAACTCGATTTCTCTGGGATGCTCTGTTTTATCATCGTTTCTACTTCTGCCTCCATGCCCACTGTAGAAAATTTTGTTAGATGCCCCTTTTTGAAACTTGTTAATGGTGGGCGTTTGACGAAGGGTAGTTTGTACCCCTTTATTGTATTTAGTATGTGTTGTGGTGCTTTCATCTCTTCCCAGAATTCGGCGTAATCTGATAAACAATCCCCTTGAAAAGGATTGTCATTGCCGTCTCGTACGGTTTGATGAAGTAGTTTTCTTAGATGGGTTATAGCGTTCAGTTGTTTGGAGACGCTTTCTGTAAGTTTTGGGGGTAGTTTTCGTCTAACTGCGGGAATTTGTTGGTTGCTGTGCGTTTCTTTCACGAGATCCAGTTTGTCTAGAATCTGATGAATGTCCACTGTAACGGGTATTTCTGTTGTATCCTGTGGTAATATGAGTACGGCCTTGCGTGCTGGGACGAAAAAACCGACCATGTATTTTGTAAAAATCTTCAAACTGTGCTTCATCGAAAATGAAAGTTTCTGATGGGGGGATGTTTTCTAGTTGAGAAGCAACTGCATCATGTTTTGGCTTAAAAGATTTTCGCCTTTGTTCAATGGCCTCAGCACGTCGTCCGCAGGTATATTGGAGTATGTCATCAGAAGTTTCGCGGATGGCAACAGTTTCTGGAAGGCATCTCTTTGGAGAAGTAATCCGTGCGAGATAGTTCCTAGGCACGAATCCATTTTAGCATGGAAATCCTGCAACGCGCTAGCTTGATGGAGAAGTTGTGGGTTAACTCGCAAAGCTGAGAAAACCGTTGCGGCTTGGAGTTTTTCCTGTACCTCTGAGTATCTGATTTTGTTGAAGGTGGCGAGTCCAAATCTTTGACATTCCTTACCCTGTAACAGTATATGTGGTTTTGGGGGTGGAATAGCTGGTTCTTGTTCCTTCGTAATGGGAGTAAAGTCCACGCACATGTCATCCTCCTGGTGGATGTCTGGAGCCGACCAAGGGACTTCATCTTCTGAGTCTGGATGTTCCGAATATACAGGGTGACTTTGAAGTTGAGTCATTAATTTTCAGATAATGATTGTAGAAGGAAGATAAACCAAAATATGTGTGTAAAAATAAAAAAAAATTAAAAAATTTTTTTTTACCTTGTTTTATAAAGTATCCTCCCGACAAGTATTTCAGTGCGGACCTGTATTTGATCGTGAGGTCTTGGAGCACCGGCATGCAGTCCCCTGTGTGGTCTTAAGTCACCTGATTCACGAGCCCGTTGTACTACATTAACAAAGGCACGAGGGGTTGGTTGCACTCGATTGGGAAACCGATCCGCATAAACATGTGCCATTTTTTATTTCGTTTGAGCCACGCAACAGACATCACTATTCAAACGCGTTACCGACAGACACTGACTGTATACAACTGACTAAAATAATTGTAAAAACATCGTTCCAAATTCTTTCGCTTTTTTGTTTCCCATGCGATGAACCAAACACGAGCACATATTATTGAGACAAGGCGGTACTCAAACCTCCAAAGGCTATAACTTTGTTACTTTAATTTTACCAGAAAAATGGTAAAGGAAAAAAACATTTCTTTTGATCAGATCTATTCACTGTTAAAATAAATTACTCAACTTCGAAGTCACCCTGTATATCGGAGTCTACTGGCGCTGCATTTCTCATTATGGATATTTCTGAGGCTGTTTCTGGTGGTTCCAGTCTTTTTATTATTGAATTTAGCATGTCCTTCAGATCTTCGTGACTTTTTTCCAATTTTTTAATTCTGCTTACTTTCTTCGTTTTGCTACCTGCTCACTAGAGCTGCTTCCCTGATCCGAAAGATCCTCAGATAAGAGTGATGAGGCTTCTTTCCTTGAAATCATTAAATGTTTCATAACTTCTAGAGCTGCCAGAACTAGTTCGTTCTGTGCTATCGAGCCTCTTATCTTTGCGGCTAGACTTGATGGTGCCGTCACAAGGCCCAGACAGAATGGACAGTTTAGCATTCTGATCTTCATGTCGCGATATGCTTTTTCTGAAAGGCATGAGATTGTAGGGTTGAACGCTCGTGCTATGCCTACTGTTGGTAGAGTAAATCTAATCTTATTTAAAATCTGCCGATCTATAGGTTCCTCTAAGACATCGACCTTGGTTGTCGCTACTATTCTCCATTCTTTCCATCCTGCAGGGAGATGTTTCACAGCCAGAGATTTGATCCTATCTAGGATGATGTTATCACTCGTTGATTCTGCCTGCTGTTTGTCGAACAGATCCCGGAGTGTAGTCACAGCTACTGGTGATACCATCTGCAAGGTAAAAGCTTCGTATTAACGTACAGACCTAGATAGAGTGGCAGTGTACATCCTTATAGGTTTGCCCCCGCTCAGGGTTAGGCACATGTGTGGCGGCTCCTCGGCAGAGCCGTCGTTTAAACCCGACGACGGTTCGGGGAATCGAGCCCTCGGCTGGAGCCGCAGGGTCAGTCAATTTGCACACCGGCTCGGAGATTGAGGCGACGTCTCAAGAAAATGGGCCGACGTCCCAAGAAAATGGGCCGACGTCTCAAGAAAGTGGGCCGACGTCTCAAGAAGGTGGGCCGACGTCTCTGATGTTCGAGCCGGCGGCTCGAGATGTTGAGCCGACATTGCAAAGCAGGCAGTGTGCGCTGAGTTTGCCATCATAAATTGTAACCCTTCGGGTCTTAATAGTGTCTATGGATGTAATGATAAGCCGATAGAATTAGTCAGCTTAAGCGCCCCAAGGTTATGTCTAGGTGCTCACAATCTGGGTCTGCCTACACTCTTTGACTGCATGCTACCTGGTAATATGTATTAAGTTCGACCTACCTTATTGACAAAACACGTATCACGCACTGGTCTTTCACAAATATTACAGTTTGATAAATGGAGGGGTCGATTCGAACGGCACACGCCGTTAATATTTAGCGGACGGTACGGGAGCAAAATCCGAAGCGTACTGAGGAACACACACTTGAGCAGCGCAGAAGCGCCGAAGGGCTCGGCGCAACGTGACTTCCGACATTGGGGGAAAAGCGCGACGGTTATGGGGCAAGATCGCGAGTGTAATCTCATTAAGGGTCAAGCCGACGCGACGGCACAGATCTGAAATACCACAATTTTGCGGTGCAACTATGACATATAACAAGTGATTGATGACGTCACGGATCTTATAACCAAACTGATAACCGCAATCGCTTGAACAGATCGGAATGGTAAATACCATTTTCATTTGGTTATCTGTTTGAATGTGATTCATGAAATGGCCGCTACTGGTAGATGATGGCAGTCAGTTGTCATCCACCATGAGCGTATCATAACCTGGGTACTGGGAGTGTGGTTTGATACTAATGTTTGTGTAGGCTTTTGGACTTTTGAAGTGTAGGCACATATTTCACAAAACGGCAAAGTGTCTGTAAAACAGTATGAATGTAATGAATACACATATGTTTATTGATAAATTATTGTTAATTGTGACAAAAAATTTATTTTACTAATTTGCAAAAAGATAAGGCAAGTTGTAGGCTCGGATTCTTCATTCTCGGTTATCATTTAACTGTTGGTTAGATGGAACTAGATGTTTCTTCATTTTGTTATTAAAATCGTCATTTAAGTGGTATATTCGAAAGTTCAGATAACAGAGGAAGAATCGACTAGTTTTTTTTTAGTTAACAACCGTATAGAATGCTTATTGACATGTTGTAAATCCATGGTTAGATATATAGCTTATACGAGTTTGAATAACATTTTTTCCACCACCAGTTATACAGGTTCTCAAAAAGAAAACCATTTATTGCAAAGCTACAAAAGACAAAATGCGATTTGTGCCGTAGATCGGTGGTCGGAAGTTGGCACCCCTTTTTGCAGCACCCTCGAATATTTTCAGAGTTCTGAACTACTTTTGAATTGTTCTACAGTTATCAGGGGGGTGCGACAATAGTTCTGCAGTTTTTTTGCGGGATTAAAAAAAAGTTTTGGGATGCTAACTTCACGCCGCACCCCTTTTACGTTCAACGTGAGTTTTGAGCTGTGGATTCTCAAGGTAGTGAATAGATCTACAGTTCTCAATAGTTTTTAGTAAGAGTTCTACAAAATTTTCAAAAAAAGCATTAATCATCCACGAGATATCTCACTAGCATGTCACATTTATTGCCAGAAAATTCGAAAAGTACACGGTACTCCAGCACAGCAAGCCTCACACATTCATGCAACCAATAATGTTCAGTAATTTTCAAACACTGAAATTGGGGATTCTATGAGAAATGGTTGGCGAAAATGTGAAGAAATACCTCCGAAATACCAAAAATTCCAACAAAAGTGTTAAATCGCAGAGCTCTAGCACAGCACCCCTTTTAGATACCTCTAGCATAATACCTAGTACAATTTCAAAAGCAGAACTTGTTGGTGCCATTAGAAAAAACTACCGTTGGTGGGGAAAAATGACGAGAAATACCTTGGAAACGTCAAAAATTCCCATAAAAGTAAAAAATCACAGAGTTCTAGCGCAGCCCCCTCCCCCTCAAATATCTTCTGCATTATATTCTGTACAAATTCAAAAGCAGAACTTGGGGTCTCTTTGGAAAAAACTACCCTTGGTTGTGAAAATGTCGAATAGTACCTTGTCTAAATGTCTAAAAATTCCCATAAAAGTGAAAAAGTGCAGAGGTCTGGCACAGCACCCTCTACAGATATCTCCAGCATAATGCTCAAGTACAATTTCAAAAGCCCAACCCGGAGGTGCCGTTAGAAAGAACTGAGCTTGGTTGGGAAAAATGACGAGAAATACCTTGGAAACTACAAAAATACACATAAAAGTGAAAAAAACGCAGACCTCTAGCGCAGCACCCCTCTCAAATATCTACACCATAATATTCTGTACAATTTCAAAATCAGAACTCGTCCATTAGAAGAAACTACCCTTGGTTGGGAAAAATGTCAAGAATACCTTCAAAACTCTAAATATTCCCACAAAAGTGAGTCTTGGCACTTGCGTAAACCATTTGTTTTGTCTACTTCACAGTTGTGCAATTTTTCATTATAAGTCTCTACTATCCTCTGAATCCTTCAAGTAGATTGACTTTTCGTCGAGAATTGCTGTTTCGAGTTACTTGTCGTTAGTGATCCGTTACTTTGCTATAAACCTAGAGATTTATTACTCCGCAAAACTACCCCACAATACATATAAAACACCGTTGGGAACACGAATTTATTTGTATTTGAGGACATTGTTTACATCACAACTATATCAGAGATCACGTCTTTAGTGTAAAGTATATCTAGTACATATTTACATTGTCGAGTTATAGAAAGTATCTCAGTTACTTTTAAAACTGATTTTAATTAACTAAAAGTTAATATCTAGAAATAATCACATTTTTTGTTTTATGTCAAAATTGAGGGATAAATTCATTATGTGTGTATGTATTCCGTGGCTATGCGCCATATAAGCACTTGGCTAGTTACGATATAAACATGGTCATTGCTGTGCATAATCAAAATGGTTATATATACAGAAATAACGGACACAATTTTCTCAGGTGGTACAAAAACGTATGGTATTCATGGTCCTAAAAAAATTTTACGGGATATGCTTATATACGGCGTTCTCGCTCCTTTTTATGTGGCCTTGAACGAAACATTGTTATTATTTTGTTATAACAAGATGTAGCAGTCGCAGCCGTTTGCTAGTTGACACATAAATGAAAACTTTACTACCCTGAAATTTGGACTGAGTGTTTGGAGTCATATACCCATGAGGGGTTTATTTGTTACATTATTTTGTACAAAAATAACTGAGCTTCGCTAACAGCCGCTCCAAGCAGAAAATGACAGTAGTGATGTGGACGTTGTCATTTACCTAGTATCATTTGTTTATTGCATTTTCGCTCAATACTCGGCGGTAAGGCATTTCAGTGTTTGATACTTTTACGTAAAAGAGTAAGTGAGGCAGTATTACTTGGTTTTCTCTACATTGTTTGCGCACCTGGGAAATATCGTCGTATCATACCACCTATTTCAGTGTAGTCTTGTATACGTAACTCTTTATCTATTGAATTAAAAGAAAATGGTACCCGTTTCGTCACACCAATGTCTGTCATGCTGACCAGAGATAAATCGACGAGAATTATTGTATTCATTACCCTTTTCTCATAAATTTGTTGCCTGCATTGAGAGGACAAATATTCTTCCTTTTTGTCAATACGATTATATTCATTCTCTAATCTAATGCTTTACCGCCATCAATAGGCCTTTGAGAAATTATTCCAGCGTGAGCATTTCTTGATTAAAGAATAAGAAAATAGCATCTATTTATTTTAGCGACAGTTGACAAGTAGTATCAAGTACCTATTGCTGGGTAAAATTGGGAATCGCTGCTGTTATTTAGGCATATGGTCACTTGCAGCTCGACGCTTAAAATGTGCCATTATCGTTTAGTCCTATTTCAAATTTTCATTCAACTACCGAACTCATTATTTTTCAGTCGATACACGATTTTAAGGTAGATCCGGTTACGTTGCATGACGTTGCAGCCAGGTCAACCAGGCTGGAAGAGCGCGACGTGGCCCGACGATTTTACTTTGAATATTGTTAACTGAAACTAGTGTGTCTAACGTGTATACGTCTAACAACAAAGTGACACAAGCCAGCGCTATCTTACACGGTATCTGAATAAAATATAAGACCAAGTTGCAAGCTCATACTATTATTTTTTGCGTCGACTGATTTGAGTTTATACAGCACATACTAAACCAGGCAACATATTGTACCGATTTTCATTCTACGCCGCCATGATTGATTGGAGTGTGGCACCGGAAGATGAGGGAGGAGGTACCTGTGAGCTACAGGTGTATACAGCACAACCCTTGAATTGCAGAAAGATATGCGCTAAAGAAGTCCTACTTCTTCATCAGATCAAGTGTTCCATACCATCTTCGACTCAAAAGTGTATTCACCATTATTTGCTGCAGACAAAAGTGATCACATCTTTACTGTGAGTATAAGCAATAAACCTGTTTATTTTTTGGGAATAATTGGCTTGCATTTACTGACGGGACATTTCCAGTATAAATTTGAAATATATTTCATTGTGTAATGCATTCGAATATTTCGAATTTGGTCGTATTGTGTTATTGATACGACGGTTCCTACTCTCCTGTTGTGATATCTCGGCCCCTAAGTGGAAGGAAGCAGGGCTATGTTGCTTGGCGCTCATCCGGAAGATAAGAAAAAAGGTACAGGAAAGCCCAGATATAAATGATCGTTGAATGATGCACTTCTAACATGCTATAAAAAAATCATGATCAACGCAGAATCGTCAATACAACAAAGTTCAAACCAGCAGTTCGCACAGCCCCGGTATCACTACATCTTAGGGCCCTTGCAGACTTTACTAAATAGTCCTGGGCATTTATTTTTACATTTAAATCATTAATTTTTTCCGAGATATGAATATCAGTAGCAGCTCGGTTTTCTAAAGAAATTTTTGATAATATATGCCAGATCTCTAAATAAGATTCAATAGAGTCAGGTAAAGTGTTCCATCTAACATCTTGTGGCATCACGAGAGCTTTTCCTCCAGATATTTTATATTTGCCTGCTGCGAAATGTAAATTTCTAAAGTACTTTATTATTTTCTTCATGTGCTCTTTCAAAGTAGGCACCTGAATATCTTGTGCAAATAAATTTAAAATGATTGCAGAATACCCATAAGTAAGTATATCAGTTAGACCTGCTCCATCGCATTTTGCTAGTTCTGCACACATCTTAGTCATATTTGCCGTACAATTATAATCTGTCTAACAACGCCTTACTGACTCCACTAATAAGTTTAACAAGTATTCAGAAGTATGACTTTTGTCTTCAGTGTCAATAGTGTCAATTAGATATACTTTACCTTCTTGAATATAATTTACGGACACGCACACTATCGAATAATTTCTAATATTGCTCCAACCATTAACAGACACGCATACTGATCTATTACCTAATTCATTTTTTATTTCTACTTGTAAAGTTCTCTATAGGTTGCTAAGAAGTTCGTTTCCTATTTGCTGACGATTAGGTGGCTGATATCC